TTAAAGACAGGGCTGAAAAACAGTTGTGAGAACATAGGAATGTACATTAATCCTTCTTGTAGTGCCCAAAGTACACTACAAACTCTTCGCAAAAAATGGTAACTCCATATGTAAAACAGTTTTAATAGATACAAGCTTTTCACTATTTATCTCAGAAATCTGTTAACCTATCATGAACTAGACAATATGGCTATACAAATGTCACTGCCACGCCAGGAAGGAAGTTTAGCACTTGAACTCTGAGCTGCCACAGCCAGGCTGGTATTCTAGCTGGCTTGTGTATCTTTACACTGCTGTCAGTACAATACAGATATTCTCCATTTGACTTTATCTGGGCTGCAAATACAATCATTCTCCTCTTGGCTTCAGTTTGCTAGATAGAAGACTAGAAGAACTGTGGGTTTTTTTAACTGTTCTTATTCAGTAGTTCTTTTTACTTACGTTTACAGATTAGTTTACATCCAGAAGAACAAGAATGATACTCAATCTTCCATTTTAAAGGGCCACTTTTCCAATCATCTGAACACAGTTACTTAAGCAACTACAGTTGAGCTCAGTTGAATACCATTTGATGAGACAGAACTATGTCTGAGTACTAAATGCCTCATGTTAAGTTCAAGGTCAAAAATCCTTAAGAATTAAAGTGATGTCTATACCATTTAGACCTCACTATCTCCAAAACACCCCTTACAGAACCTCAGGGGTTTTTAAATCTTCATTCAAAATACCAATATACAGTAGATTTTCTCTGTGCATCTATCTTCCAACTGTAACAACTTTTCTATTGAAGAAAATGGGCAGAGCTTTTCAATACTACTAATTAATCTTCTCTAAGAATGCACAGCTCTGCAAAATAAGAGCTTTTTAACCCATTATTATTGGTTTATAATCAAAGCACTTAATTAACGGAATTTCAAGAAACTAAAATGAATGAAAATAAAAATTAGACACTCATCAGTTACTAACTAGCTTACAAATAACAATACTCTTGCAAGACATGTATCTGCTCTTTCTGTACCTCATCTCTATAGTGAGAGATAGGCTATCGGTTTTTGTACTAGGTACTGAAGCAAGCTGGCTACCAATACAGCTCACATCATCTCCTGATCCCTTTCCACAGCTGCTTATACACTCTGACAAGACTGGACACTGGTAATAGTCAACTGGAAGGGAGAAGAAAAGCCACAGCCCACTACCTCTACTTCAAATTTCCATCCAAAAGCTACTCCCATGCCCTGGCAATGCAGTATCATCCTATGTAAGCTCCCAGCAGCATTATCTGACCAAGAGGAATCATTGGAGGCATTTCCATTTCAGTGGGTACAGGAAGATACTGTTAAACAGCACAGATCAAAACACTTCAAGTTGCTTCGTCTTTGTCAAGCACTCCTAATTCAGATCCTGGAAAAAGCAGAATAATTGAAGACAAAATGTTTCCTGAGCAGTGGCAGTGGTCTGAAACTGTGTTCTTTCACCGACACCATCATCATGACCTCTCCTGAGAGGTGTCCCTTTCTCCACCAAGTGACCCCCCTGGAAAAGATTTAGCAGGATTTGGCCTGAAGGCACATCTCAGGCCCCAGCCCCTCCTGGTCTGCTCAGCAATAGCAGAAACATAGCGGGTGAGACTAAATTTTTCTGGAGTCAGATCAACTTGGAAGCAGACTGCCAAGTACAGCATGATCTTACCCCATGGACAGGAAAAGCTCATGAAGTAAAATATTTGAAGTTATGTCTACAAATGAAATAACAAAGATTTTAATATGTATAATCTGAACCACTTCTACTAAACTAGGATTTATAGATGAGCTTACTGACGTAATTTTTAACTCACCAACATATAGCTACAGCAGGACACTGCAAAAAGGGCTTTACAGCAGCCAGAGTCAGAACAAGGCTTCAGCAATAACATTTTCCTTCTCCTTCAGCTGTTGCAGGTCAGGGACTACCACCACATCTGGGAGGAGGGCACGAATACCGAGGAGCCATGCTGCTGGCTGACACCCTGGGCACAGCATGACAATGCCTTCCCACAGACAAATCCTGCCAACAAGCATTTATTTCTCTTTGAAACTGAAGCAGTCATAGTGGTCAGTAAGGAAATCCATCAGCCATACAGCCAAGAAACTGTCCTCCCAATCCTTTTCTGTGATATTCAGGCTTCAGCCTGAACAGTTTCACTGCAAGACCACCACTCATGGCACAGGTGACAACACATAAAAGGACAGATTATTGAATATAAAATAACTTGTGTTTGTGTAGTGCCTTGCATGTGAAAAAGTCTGATTTGCTAATCTTGCCAAAACAACTCTGACAGTTCCCAAATGGAGATGGGATTTTTCAGACAGAAGCAAAAGCAGAACAAGTTTCACTGGAATGCAAACTTTATAGTTACAGATTTCCCTAAGGTTACCAGGCCTGACACACTGTCAGAAAAATCAACCAAAACTGTCAGGTGTTACGGTGCACATTCTTTCATTAATGCTAACAGAAAGAAATATTACCAATATTGCAACAACACATACACAGTGTTCAACATTGTCCCCCATGACATCCCTGTCTCTAAACTGGAGACATAAATTCGATGGATGGACCATCCATGGGATAAAGAATTGGCTGGATGGCTGCACGTAGAGATTTGTGGTCAACGAACAGTTCAGTGTTCAGCTGGAGATGGGAAACAAGTGGTGTCCCTCAGGTGTCAGTGCTGGGACTGAGCCTGTTCAGCATCTTTGCTGGCGACAGGGACAGTGGGATTGAATGTGCCCTCAGCAAGTTTGTCAACAACACTAAGCTGTGTGGTTTGGTTGACACACTGGAGGGAAGGGATGCCATCCAGAGGGACCTGGACACTCTTGTGAGGTGGGCCAATGCCAACCTCATGAAGTTCGCTTTGCAAGGTCCTACATCTGGGTCGGGGCAGTCCCAGGCACAGCTACAGGTTGGGCAGAGAAGAGATTCAAAGCAGCCCTGCAGAGAAGGACTTGGGGGTGCTGCTTGATGAGAAACTTAACATGAACTGGCTTCACTGTGCACCTGCAGCCCAGAAACCAACCATATCCTGGGCTGCATCAAAAGAAGCGTGACCAGCAGGTTGAAGGAGGTGATCCTGCCCCTCCACTCTGCTCTTGTGAGACCTCACTTGGAGTATTGTGTCCAGTTCTGCTGCCCTCAACATAAAAAGGACATGGAGCAATTGGAGCAAGTCCAGAGGAGGCCACGAGGATGATCAGGGGGCTGGAGCACCTCCCGTACAAAGACAGGCTGAGGAAGTTGGGGCTGTTCAGCCTGGAGAACAGAGGGCTGCAGGAGACCTCATAGCAGCCTTCCAGTATCTGAAGGGGGCCTACGAGGATGCTGGGGAGGGACTCTTCATCGGGGACTGTAGTGACAGGACAAGGTAATGGGTTCAAACTTAAACAGGGGAAGTTCAGGTTAGATGTAAGGAAAAAGCTCTTCACTGTGAGGGTGGTGAGGCACTGGAACAGGTTGCCAAGAGAAGTGGTAAGTGTTCCATCCCTGGCAGTGTTCTAGGCCAGGCTGGACAAAGCCTTGGGCGACATGGTCCTGTGTGAGGGGTTCCTGCCCCATGGCAGGGGGTTGGAACTAGATGATCTTAAGGTCCTTTCCAATCCAAACCATTCTGTGATTCTATGAACACTGCAACTGTCAGAGGAAATGAGTCAGAAAAATATACTACGGGAAAAAATAAGAAACTATTAATCAGATTACTGCAGTGAATTATTAGAGCTTCCCTACCTACGGAACACAATTAAATCAGACCTCATTAGCAAAATGAATTCACATGAATTCACATTCTCTTTTCTAGCCTCCTACCTAGGTATCTTATCCATAAGATGGCAAATAGAGGCTTTGAAAAATCCAGTGTGTATTTTGAAGTGATCACCTAAAAACTAAAAATTAAAAGGTCTTTATTAACCATACATAAAACCTTATAAAAAGAAGGAAGAAAGAAAAAAATTAAAAAACACCACACCAAGTGTTTTCCAGTAAGCATATATGTTTGTATCATGGCTGTAATGAAACATGCATTAAGTATGAAACATATGGTTTCCATTTTGTTGCCCTGGAATTCATCCAAAGACATTTTACGTTGTTAGCTTAACTGTTCTCCTCAGCTGAGAAGCTGTGGAAAATCTCTCATCTGAAAAAAATCTGTACCTAATAGTTGACTATAAAAGATTTGCTAGATCTGCAGCAGACTACTAAATAAAAAAGCCCCCGAGATAACTAGTTAACTACTGGATTATTATTTTTTCTAATTAGAATATGATTTTCAAACTAAAAGAAAAATTGCTTTAAGAGGTACTATGAATTATATGAACAGATTATGTCGGTAATATTTTCTTTATTTAATAAATTTGTAGTGGTGTTTATGGCACTCTATTGGAACCAGGCCATGTGACCTAACAAGCACACATAACAAAATCATTACTAATGTATCATCTCCCTGATTTTATAGATTGAGAAACTTAGGCAGAAAAAGCACTGCTCTGAAGATCACTTTCTGGCTAATAAGCGGATTCAGAGGCAAGGTCAGTAAAAATGAGAGAAAAAGAAGAAAGATCATATTCCGTGATTTTTAATAATGCTTAGGTTTGCCCTGATGCAGAAATAGGTTGTCAAGGACTTGGATAAGAATTTCAAGACACCTATCATGAACGGCCAGATTTAAATTTTACTCACATGAGGGGAAAATATACTAGAAATGCTGAATACAAAGTCACAAGCTTAAATTTTGCCATGCTGTGCTTAAAAATTCATCCCCAAATTGCAAGGCTGATAACCTCAGCAATAACAAGCAGGCAACATATAAAACCTTTCATGCCCTTATGCTGTAAACTATTTGAGCTATTGACTTGCTTCAGGAATTAACATGTATTTAAACCGTTAAGTCTGCAGTAAGAGCTGTAGTTCTTGAAATTTACTGCTAATCTTTCTTTTGATAAAGCCAATGGGAAAGTAGTATTATAACCCACCTTTGCCATCTGTGCTTGGACTCCACTAGCCTTTAAAGCAGAAACTGCCTTCTGAGCAGCTGCTGGGCTGTCAAAGTCAACAAAACCATAACCTGAAATATAAAGCATATTTCATTAATGAGACAGCAACCAATTTATAATGAGTTCGTATGCTACTAGCATGGTTATTTAACACAATTTTCTTGTTGGTGAAGAGTGTCAATTTGATCTCCAACGCTCTTCATGTAGTCTCAAAAAACTCCCAATCTACTGAAGTCCTTCAACCTTTAACTGGTGGGGAGCTACCCCAGTGGAACAAATCAATTTCCACGCCCAATCATTATCAGGATTTTGTCCAAATTGCTAACAAGTAGCATGGTGCTTTACTTCATGTTACCTGGTATGTATCATCCAAGAGCAAATGTGACAACATCAGTTTATTTCATAGAGATCAGAGTAAAGCATAAGCTGTTATTGTTTCTAAACTAAATTCTCAGCCCATCTTGAAAACAGGTGACAATCCTCCAAGTTACACATCATTTACTCAAAACCGGGAGAAGAATTTGGTTTAAAATATGCGTATCTACTGTATCATAATCCAATTTTTGGTGAATTCATCGCTTTATAGTGTATTTATAAACAACAGTTAAATTTAAAAAGTGAAAACCCAGCTTCAATGAAAGTAGATGAGTTTTTCCGTCGTTGTACTGAAACCAGAACGTAAAAAGTTGTCCTAAAAGCATTTTCTATGCCATATAATGCGGTCTTTAAAGGTTAAAGTAAACCCAAAGTTAACTATAAATTTCCATACAGTTGCAGTAACTCTTTTTCTCATTCTGAACAGCAATATTCAGCTAATGGAATCCAGGACACCTGAACAGCCATATACCTTGGCCTTTACAGACGCTGACCTTACAAGCAGCAATTTTTAATGCTACCTGGAATTGGATGCTCAAGCCTGACCAAAAGGTAGGAAGAGTTTGGAAGCTACTTCCCCTAAATGTTACTGCAAACATCAACATCACTCTGTATTTTTCAAGCCACTTCCTTCTCACCAGGGAACTGCCTCTAATATTAAAGGAATCCCTCTCCAATGCCTAAGTTGGGTTATTAAAAGAAAACAAACAAAACCCCCAACAATAAAAAAAAAAAAAAAGAAAAAAAAAAACCCCAAAACAAAACCAAAACCCAACAACTCTGGGTGAGTAGAAAATTGAATTCTTTCTTCAGAGGGTAATAGCATTCTCTTACAACAATATGGCTATTCTGAGGACAAAAATGTTGTGTAAAGATATAACCGAACCAGCTTTGAAGTCCTTAATTTGTGAAAAAATTCGAGCAGCCTTGTACATCAGTGCTAGCTTATTTAACCTGCCAAGAAGCTGAAGAAAGCAGCATATTGTTCTGTGTAACACGTGGTGTTGTGGACTGTTAAATCTTGACATGAAACAGAGTGAATTAGCTCATATCAAGTTTTGTGCTGCCAAGGCAAACTAACTTTCCATACCCAAAACTAGCTTTCCATACCCATGACAGCCCAGGTTATCAACACCACCACACTGCAGGGTGCAATACAGATGAAGTTACATACTGATACCAAGCTGGCTTTGCCATCTTCTAGATGATATATAAACTCAATTGCTCGTGTTCCACTTAGTTCAACTTCCATGGTATGTTTTTTTGGCAAGACACAGAGATGCTGTCAATCTTTTGGGTAAATTCCAGTTAGATATTTGCATTCTGCCTACTTATGTAATTTTAATGACATGCAGTGAGCTTCCCTCCAGCCTTACCTTGCTGAATATTGTTTCAGCAGATTGTTAGCTACTGCTTTTCACCAGTGAGATTTAAAATCTGTATTGGAAAAGTCAGCTTTAACCTCTTAATGTGAGAATTTCTGTATCACTGACAGAACTACTGAAGCCTTCAGGAAATGTGGGAGTGGACAGATTAAATCAGTTAAATGCTGTCATAAGTATTAATAAATTAAAATAATTAAAAAGGGCATCTCCTCTTTCCTAGTCACAATATATGCAGATGACATCTGCATACAAACTAGGAAAGAAAATTTATAGAAAGTTCAGTTTCTGACCTGTCAGCATCCCTTTAATTGCATAAGATGAGGAGTGGAGCTGAGAAGCTATGCCCCTGCACTGCTTCCAAGTTCTGCACAAAAATTCTGTATTAATGATGAACTCTCCTCTCCTGCCTCTGCCAATCAGCTTTATGCTTGTTCATGAGCTTCACGCTTATTAACATTGCTAAATCAGCTGACTTAATTCTTCACTTTGCTCAGAAATTATCCTCTTAATTGTAAAAAAAGTCTGAAATCTGGTATTTCAGTGTCTGCTACCACACCTTCTCCCACCATGCACATTGCTGGGATATGATCTCACTACAATTGCAATGAATGATGAAAATCATTGAACTGATGCATCCAGCTTATCTAAAGGTGTGCTAATTTTTTTCCAGCTGCAATTACTGTGGTGAAAATGAACCCTCTCTTTGCTCCCAATACATTCAAAAGCATATAACAAAACACAATTAAGAACATTAGAACATGTAATTAAGTGCTGCTTTAAACTACTCTAGTCAATGGAGCTGATTTCTACAATGTGTAATTTTTTCAGATGCTTAGTATAGTTGAATGGTCTTCTGTATGATTCCCTGGTTTCTCCAGGCAAAAGGGGAAAAGCTGCTTTTAACTCCATTTTTGTTTTTAAAATAGAGGCAAACTGCCAGCCAGCACTGTGCATGTCAGCTCCACTCTGGCTTGGCTGCACTACTGACACAAGCTGTCTGCCAGCTCCACTGGCAACAAATGTATTGAATAAGAAAGGCTCAGGAATAAGAATGGGAAGAAGAAGAAGAAAAAAAGGGAAAAAAGAAGGAAAAAAGACCCACACAGCAGCACCACCAGCTCCCCTCCCACCCCCCCCAAAAAAAAGCTCAAAAAGCACTTAAAATACATTAGCATATTTTATAGAATTAATTAGGACTTTCAGGTGAATGTAATATAAAGGCAAATACACATACCTTTGCATTTGTTTGTTGTCTTATCCAAAATAGCCTTCGTGGATACAATTTTCCCATACCTAAAATGTATTATACATACGTAAGGGAAATGACAAAAGAACATCCTACTACAACAGATACCCAATTCCATTATTTTATATCCTATTATGCTTTACTTTTAATAAAATGGAATAATATAGACCATATAACTCCGTGATGAAAAAATCATACATAGATGGAGGTGACAAAAGATAAACAATTTCAAACATGAGCTTGTTCTGTTCTCCCTATCTTCTCAGTGGCACAGCAGAAATCACAGAATAAGTCAGAGAAAGTGCTTTATACAAAAAAAAAATCCATTACAGTTAAAATCCCGGTAAGTAAAAGAAACCACATTTTACACATAAGCTTGGGCTTTGTCAGTGTATATACAAATAAACCAACAGTAAAAAATTTAGCTATCTCTTCCCCCCCACAGACAAGCACAAAAAGATTAAATACTCCTATCAGGAAGATGACATGTGCAGTCAGGTTTATGAAAGCTGACCAAGAAAGGTGGAAAACGATTTCCTGTATTTTCAAATGGAAAGCTGAGATGTAAACCATTTCGACTAAAATCAAAACATCCTTCAGGAAAGCTGCAATTTTCTTTTTCTCACTGCCTGTTCCTCAGCTTCTCAGTAACTGGCAAGCCCAGATGCCAGTCTGCTCACAGTCCAAAGGTGAGCACCAGAGAGCCATAAAGTCTGGGAAACAGGTGGACAGCAATCCAGCTATAGGAGCAATTGCTGTTTCTGAAGTGCTCTGCAAAGTTTATCAGCATTAGGTTTTTTCATCAAATTTAGAGTAGAATTTGTCACTGCTTGTGAAAACTTGCAATTTTCCTTGAAAGTCAAATCCCAGTTTCATTTTAAAAAAAGCAACTCTCTTAGCCTGAATCAGCAGTAGAATTGGAAACGGAGCAATGGTTTCCCATGGTTTCCTTACTACAGTCTCCTCTGTTTCCTTGTGAACTATGTTTCATACAGTGCTGGGAGTATACAAGGGAGAAACAATGCAACATGAATTTGTTTTCACAGAATCACAGAATGGTCAGGGTCAGAAGAGACCTTAAAGTTCCTTCAGTTCCAGCCTCCTCCCACTAGACCAGGTTGTTCAAAGCCCCAATCAACCTGGCCTTGAACACTGCCAGGGATGAGGCATCCACAGCTTCTCTGAGCAACCTGTGCCAGCATCTCAACACCCTTGTATTGAAAAACTTCTTCCTCATTATCTAATCTAAATCTACCCTCTTTCAGTTCAAAGCCATTCCCCCTTTAACCTATCCCTGCATGCCCTTTTAAAAAGTCCCTCTCCAGCTTCCTTGTAGGCCCCGTTTAGGTACTGGAAGGCTGCTTCAAGGTCTCCCCTGAGCCTTCTCTTCTCCAGGCTGAACAAGCCCAACTCTCTCAGCCTGTCTTCACAGGAGAGTTGCTCCAGCCCTCAAAGCATCTTTGTGGCCTCCTTTGGACTCGCTCCAACAAGTCCACATCCTTCTTATACTGGGGGCTCCAGAGCTGGACACTACTTCAGGTGGGGCAGCATCAGTGCGGAGGGGGAATATCACCTCCCTCAACCTGCTGGTCACGCTCCTTTTGATGCAGCCCAGGATATATTTGGCTTTCCGGACTGCAAATGCACACTGCCAGCTCATGTGGAGCTTCTCTTGAACAAACACCCCCAAGTCTTTTTCCTTAGGACTGCTCTCAATAAGAATATAATGTAGCTTAATATTACATTAACAGGTATACCTAGGCACTCTGTACTAACAGGTCCTTTATCATCGTGCAAGAACCCAGAATGAACGGGAAATTTTAAAAAATGTTATCAGCATAAGAAATTGGAACTTGGGGAAGAATTAATTTTTGCCAGCTCACCTCCTAAATATAACTTCAACAGAGTGAGTATCATTTCAGGAAGGTATTATTTCAAAAGACGACTCAATTTCTGCAGTAGTTGTATTAGTCTTGAAAGTTCTTCAAAATATTTAAGAAGCTTAATAAATAATGTGAAGCTTAGATTACTCAAATGTTCACTTGCAAAGTGATAGTTAGTCAAGGATGAAGCCTATTTACAAAGTACTTTCCCCCTAAAGAACGTTTAAATACATGTTTCAGTGTAATCATCACTCTCTGTGACCAGTTTCAAGCACCTTCTGTTTATTCAATGAGTTATTATATGGCTTCAAATAGTTGCAAAGGAGTAAACCTGGGACAGTAGGTGTTTGCTTCCTTATTGCATCTGAAATTATGAGCATCTACACTGATATAAAATAGAGCTACCCATCTGTAGCATAAAAAAAAAAAAAAAAAAAGGCACAAACATCAATGAAAATTAGTGCACACCTAAATCTACTATGGCGGAAGCTATAACAAAGCAATAGAAATTGTTCCTCGTCATTGGAACAGGTACTTCCTCATCAGCGCCACTTATTTTTGAAACATATTGTTCCATTTAGAAAGCTTTATCATTTGTAAGTCAAAACTTCCCAAACCTTCTCCAGAATTTTTCTGAGTGCAAAGCAAACGTACATATTCTACATGAAAGAGACAAGCTGTTCAGGAACAGTGCTCTTCAAGATCCACTAAACTCTTGTGTCCCACGTCACTTGCACCCAGCATCAGATTTGACAGCCCACACTCTCTATGTCCTATCAGTTTCTGTAAGTTGTTAAACTGAAGAGCTACATAACCTTTCGTGGCAAAAAATCCCTGGAGGATGATCTTGTCTCTGCTTGTTTCACTTCTTGAAAGTGTAGAAAGTGGTGTTAGTGGTGAAAAGCTACAGCACTGGGTATCAGTGTAAACAAAGTAACTGCAACCCTCCCACAGTTTGGTCACAGAGAGGAGTTAGGGGCTGGCTATGGACTGCACTGGCCCCTGATGGTGACGTACACCAGCCCATAAATAGATGTCTGCATGTCTGTTCTTTAAGCCATTTTACAGACCATCTTCCTATGCGCAAAACCGCTAATGATTTAATTCACTGTCCTAGATTGCATGTCTCCTGCAAAGAGCTAGCTGCCATGGAAGACTGCCAAGAAATTTCAGCAGTGTGAGTCTAGGAACAATTCAGAGAACCAGTATAACAATAGCAGCTATCGCCAGGATTTCTCTTACGATTTTCCCTGTGAATACTCCTCCCATAGCGTGAGTACTCACGCCATGAAGCACAGAAATGCAGTTTACCACCTGAGCCTGGGCTGAGGGATACATCCCCTTCTTGCTCCCACCCTGTGGTCTGATACCAGGGGAAATTACTCCCTGCAGTTCCTCCTAAGTGCTTCCTTCAAACGATGACCATCATGAAAACATACTTCCTTCCTCCTGAATTTTGCAGTCCTAATACTCCTGTTAACACAGGCCTCTGTCTTCAACTGCTCATTTCCTGGGTGCAACTGCAGCTAAGACCCATCAGAAATCAGTGACCTATAAAACACACCAGTTATGGTGCAAACTAATATGTATTGCCTGCTTACAAAAAGGAATATAACAAGCAAGAGAAAACTTATATTCCAAAGATGTCTATGATGTTAGGTCTTGCCTACAGATCATCATTCCTCTCAAAGCTCACGCACATCTAGTTGTTTAAGGCATCCTGTTAATGCTAATCTTCTGCTTCAAAGCCTTACCATGTGCTTAGTGAGACCTGCAACCCAAGACAGAGCATATCTCTTTTGGTTGGCAGGATCATTTCAACAATGACTGGCAATTGCTCATTCCCTGTCCTCTG